GGATGAGACTGGCACCACCCTAAGGAATTCGTAATGTTTAGTACAGACTCTGGGAGTTAGTTAGTCTGGCGAGATTCTGTCTAGCAGGTGTAAGCTAATAAAGTAACTGAGCAATTCCAGAACCATCCCGTGGAATTTCTTGGGCTGAACCTGACACTTCCTTTTCTTATCACATTTGGAAATTGCTTATTAACTACTTTTTAGCTATTAGAAACCTTTGGCTTGACAAGTCTGAAAACACTGGGTAAGTCTGCCTTCAATCCTTAATGAAAGAAAATTTTAATTACAAGCTTAAGAATTAAATTTTTTTTTAGCAAGATAAACAGTAAAATGTTACTGTTAAAATGTTAATTAAAACTTTGATTTTAGAAAGCTACAAATGGATTAAGGGTCCAGGTAAATTTGAAATAAGATTTTGGAATTAATTATTAAGAAACCTTCCTGTGGGAAAATGTTTTTGTTTTGAATTAAAAATAAAATAAAATAAGATTTTAAAAACTGGGCACTAGAGGGAACTTAAGATTTCAATTAAAGGAGAAGAACACATAAACTTGGCTAACAGCAACAGAATGGTGCAAAATATTCTAACACTGGAAATACTGAAGGATATTTTTGAAAAATGCACTCAGAAATTAATATGAACAATGTCAACAGCAATATCTGAAGGACAGACTGTCTAAAATATGTTATTGAAGAGGAACAAGTTTTACCTGACAAGACAGAGACTAAGTTGAAAGTGGATTTGCAAATGACAGGCTACAAGAATGACATGGAAAAAGATCTTACACTGGACATACAAAAGAAACTGGCTGATGTCTTAATAATTAAAAGGGACATATAAACAATAAATCAAGAGAGTGACCTGGATAATTTTTCTACAGTACACTGGACTTTCAAAAGAGACTTGCTAAAGCTTTGAAGAATCTTGTGAGAAGGGACAAAGAAGTAATGAAAAGAAATAAAGTTCCATGACATTATTTGAATGGACTAAAGATTAAGATGGTTAGAAGTAAAAGGAAGGAATATAAAATTGGTTTATTTGATCAAGATTAAAATAGATATGTTGTT